TGAAACAGGCCTGACAGGTTCACAACCCGGTGGGCTCCTCTCTCTCCCCCTCTATCAGATCAACTCAAATACACTGCTATGATAATGCTGCTTAGCTCCGCGGCTCAGGATGAAAGAGTTTTCGACACAGGCATCCAATATCTGGGGAAGAGCCCGAGCAAATCCTCCGCCTTGTCAGATATGTCTCCCACAGTCTCAAAGAAAAGAGCCAGGTTGTTCACTTTGGAGGATTTGCAGCGCGGCTTTGTGTTCGCCAGGGAGATCTCCAGTGATACAGTCCTAAAAGTTGTGATGTGCCAAACGTTAAGGGTAGAAAATGTACAGGTATGTGGAGACAAAGGGGGTCCTATGCGGCTATCAGCGGTGAATGTAGAACGTGACGAGTTTGATATGCCACAGGTAATCCCTTGATGATGGCAAAAGTATGCGGTATTTTTCTATTTTCTGTTAGTAAAGTTTTAGAAAGTTGTCAAGAAGAGACTGCTGTAATATTAAATATTTTGCTTGCTGGTCTCTGGGGTCATGAGACGATAACGAAAAGGCATTTCTCTGGCATTTTACCACAAAATAATTTGTTGCTAGATAATAGTAAATAATGAGTTGTAACCCTATGTTGCTGGTTTTCTACACTAACTTTGATAACTACAAAATCAATACGTTAATGAATAGGTTTTTGATCCCATGGTAACACAGCTGCAGCAGCTCGAGTCCTGACTAGAACTAGGAAGTACGACCACATTAGTCCAGTTCTCAGATCTCTACTTCCTGTGGCTCAGAGAATAGACTTTAAAGCAGCTCTGTTTGTTACAAGTCTCTCCATGGCCTCGCACCAGAGCACTTCAGAGACATGTTAGTGCTGGGACTGGCCTCCTGCTGGGACTCTGAGGAGCACAGGGACTGGCCTCCTGCTGGGACTTTGAGGAGCACAGGGACTGGCCTCCTGCTGGGACTTTGAGGAGCACAGGGACTGGCCTCCTGCTGGGACTTTGAGGAGCACAGGGACTGGCCTCCTGCTGGGACTCTGAGGAGCACAGGGACTGGCCTCCTGCTGGGACTCTGAGGAGCACAGGGATTGGCCTCCTGCTGGGACTCTGAGGAGCAAAGGGACTGGCCTCCTGCTGGGACTCTGAGGAGCACAGGGACTGGCCTCCTGCTGGTGCTATAGGATCAGAACTAAACATGGGGAAGCTGCTTTGATATGTTTTATATGAATATGCACTTTTTATGTTTTATTGTCTGTCTTTTAAGTGCTTGTGAAGCACTTGAATTGTGAATTATTTTTATTTTGGTATTCCTGCATCTTGAGTCCTTCATTCACCTCTCTACGTGACAGGTAACAATCAGCGAGGCCCAATTGGATAACAGCAGAAACATCATAATCAAGGTCATGGAAAAGTTGGCCTTGAACAGTCTAACTTTGTGTTAAACCTGTGTTAAAACATGTAAAAACTGTGGACTCAATGCTTTCTATGTGTCTTGCAATGTGTCAAAGTGGTCAAAAAAAGGTGCAAACCCGTCCAACCGAAACACAACTCCCTGAGAATACACATACTTTGACTTGTGCCCAGTTAGTTTGTCAGAAACACCCTTGAAAAGAAAAGTCACTCACTCTGTTTTGTTGAAGAATTGAGATGGTTTCAGATCTGTTCACAGCCGTGGCAAAACTCCAAACTATCTTTTTGGTTTGTTCAAACATCACTGCCCTCATCTTTGATCCCTTTGTCCTTTCCTTTGCACTTTTCTCTTCTCTTTCTGATGTCTACTTTACAGCCCTGAAAGCTTTGCAGTGTGGGGAGAAGAGTCAGCCACTTCTACTCCAACCTGTGTTTTCTTGACGTGACAAAAACACTTAATGTTGTCTGTAAGAGGCACTGCCAGAATAATGGCCTGTGGCAAGGATGAGATAAAACATGTGGCCTTGCGTCGCATTCCTCGCTCCCCTGAACCAATGAGGCGAGGAGCCGGGGGAGCAGAGAATACAGGCCTTTTAGAGGAGACGCTCTAATGCACGCTGCGCAGTACTTCACTTTAGTGGCAGCGAGGAGCGAGGAGAGAGTGCACGGCCGATGACTTACACTTCAGCGCCAAAGACACAACTGAGAGAGAAAGCAGACAGAGGACGCTTGTAACAGCACCACTTTCAATCAGCCAATCAGGACTGAGCATTTCAATCTGAAGAGACCAAGACAGAAACATTCATGCATGAAAAAGATTTATTTGATTGGCGCATTGACCCTGGCAGTGACACTTGCAGAGGGGAGATCGTCTGCTGCTGTGGATGATCTCAGACCCCCCGCGGTCAAGCACTGGTGGTGTCTAGAAGCATGGTGTGAATGGGGCTCAGGCGGAGCAGGAGCCAGGGCAGGAGCTAGAGCAGGAGCCAGGGCAGGAGCCAGAGCGAACAGGAACAGGTACTGTTACCTCGAAATGGGACCTACTGTAATCCCATTTCGAGGCAACTCTACCAACTGAGCTACAGGGCGACAGTAGCTCAGTTGGTAGAGCATTGGGCTTTGAGCCTGAAGGTCGTGGGTTCGAGCCCTTCATAAGACTTTCTCCACCGACTCTCGCTGCTGTCGTTGTGTCCTTGGGCAAGACACTTAACCTCTTGGAACACCAGGTGCCACAGTGGGGCGGCTGTGAAGTGCCAAACGCCGTTGTGTACTTAGGCAGGACGCTTCACCCCCCTTGCCTAGAATGAGTCTGGTGTGTGTGTGAATGGTTGGTGGTGGTGGGAGGGGATGATGGCACAGACTGGTTGCCTCGCTTCTGTCAGTGTGCCCCAGGGCAGCTGTGGAATAAAGCTGAAAGAATAATGATGTGTAATGCGTCTTTGAGTATCCAAAAAGTGCTGTATAAAACCGATGCATTTTTTATTTTATATTTTTTACCGTAGTTCTGGAACAGTCTTTGGCGAAGTCACTTGCAAAAAACATGAGCGAGTTTTGTCGCAGATCTCAGACTCACAGATTTTGTCGTCACATATTTACATCAAAAATAAATTTCCAAAAAAGCACAGATATATTTACAGTTGATGGAGCAGAGGCTGGACTCAGAGAGGCTGCAGCTGACCAGAGACTGCACTGATTCACTGGTTCAGTTTCTCCCTGCTGTCAATCACCTCTTGGAGGTGGGCTTTTTGCGTCACAGATTGGTGCACAAAGAAGTCATTTCTGAGCCTCTGGAGAATGAAAGAGAAAGTTTGTTCTGTAACTAAAGCTTGAGTAAAAAAACTACTCTGGGACAACAGCTGTACCTTAGGCTGACCTTTTAAGTTAAAGATATATACATGTATTTTGTATGGAGTTGTGCAACACTTATTCACTTCTCTTGTGCTCCTCATTTCTTCTTTTCTGTAACTTGTGATGCAACACTGAAATGTATGTTTTGTGGATCATTAATAGTTGTTGGAGACCAGTTGTGCTGTTACGTTTGTTTTGAGGTGATCTGCGAGATGTGCTGCTAAGATGTTCTCTGACAACAAGTGTGTCTCCAGCTCCAAGTGTGCCATCGCTAACCAGCCTCTGTTGCCTAGCAACCATTATCATTTGCATTTGTGTGACGTCTTGGATCATTTGCATTATTTATATGTTTTGACTTGGCATCAAAATGTCCACTGCTTCTATGTTTTAATGTCACATGCTAAGTGCCTGCTGTTGAATTTCTATTTTGTTATCTTACATTTACCATAAATTCAAAATAACACAGCTCTGCATATATTTATATGTATATTTATATATATTCACCACTGGCTGTTTCCCGATGCCAGGTCAGAGTGGGCTCGCATCCTGCGCTGCTCACAGCTCTCTGTAGTTTCCACATCTTTAGTTCACAAGTTTAGTCGAGGTGTCTTTCCTCCACAGAAGCATTCATTTTGGTGATTTAGAAAAGTACTGAAACTTGAGCTTTTGCACATTTTGTCATTTTTGAAACCATACACATCAAGATTTTCTTTTGGATTTTATTATTTCAAAGACCTCTCAAAGTAAAAGACAAATGTGAAGTGCATGGGTTTACACACACATTCATTTACAGCATGTACAGGTTCTTTATAACTTACTTTTTAGTATTTTTTTCGTAACACAGTCACCAAACATACACTCACAAGATGTACATACCAAACATACAATACATAACATAACACAAAGACAAAAACCCACTTACCATGCAATAGTAAAACAAACAGCAGTACACAAGCAAATGGGAAAGATGCAGAGTAAACGGCAAGACAAAAGACAAAAATAAAAAATAAACAAAAATAAACAAAATACAAAAGAACATTTTAAAAAAAAGTTTTTTTATTTATTCATTCATTCCTTATAACTTCTTAATGCTCACATCTTTCTCTAACAAGGACTTAGACCTGTCTGTAATCTACTCAGTGTATTTACAAATGTTCTGTGAGGCTTCAGAGCTGCAGGTATGGACGGGTTGGAAAAGTGGCCCATGTGTGTGGCCCTTGTGTGTGGCCCATGTGTGCGGCCCATGTGTGTGGCCCATGTGTATGCGGCCCATGTGTGTGTGTGTGTGTGTGTGTGGCCCATGTCTGTGTGTGTGTGTGGCACATGGGTGTGGCCCATGTGTGTATGGCCCATATGTGTGGCCCATGTGTGTGTGTGGCCCATGTGTGTGTGGCCCATGTGTGTGTGGCCCATGTGTGTGTGTGACCCGTGTATGTGCGGCCCATGTGTGTGTGTGGCCCATGTGTGTGTGGACCATGTGTGTGCGGCCCATGTATGTGTGGCCCATGTGTGTGTGTGGCCCATGTATGTTTGGCCCATATATGTGTGGCCCATGTGTGCGGCCCATGTGTTTGCGTCCCATGTGTGCGGCCCATGTGTGTGCGGCCCATGTGTGTGCGGCCCATGTGTGTGTTGCCCATGAGTGTGCGGCCCATGTGTGTGTGGCCCATGAGTGTGCGGCCCATGAGTGTGCTGCCCATGTGTGTGCGCCCCATGTGTGTACGGTCCATGTGTGTGTTGCCCATGAGTGTGCAGCCCATGAGTGTGCAGCCCATGTGTGTGCGGCCCATGAGTGTGCGGCCCATGAGTGTGCGGCCCATGAGTGTGCGGTCCATGAGTGTGCGGCTCATGTGTGTGCGGCCCATGTGTGTGCGGCCCATGAGTGTGCGGCTCATGTGTGTGCGGCCCATGTGTGTGCGGCCCATGAGTGTGCGGCCCCTGTGTGTGCGGCCCATTAGTGTGCGGCCCATGTGTGTGTGGCCCATGAGTGTGCGGCCCATGAGTGTGCTGCCCATGTGTGTGCGCCCCATGTGTGTACGGTCCATGTGTGTGTTGCCCATGAGTGTGCAGCCCATGTGTGTGCGCCCCATGTGTGTACGGTCCATGTGTGTGTTGCCCATGAGTGTGCAGCCCATGTGTGTGCGGCCCATGAGTGTGCGGTCCATGAGTGTGCGGCCCATGAGTGTGCTGCCCATGTGTGTGCGGCCCATGAGTGTGCGGCCCATGTGTGTGTGGCCCATGAGTGTGCGGCCCATGAGTGTGCTGCCCATGTGTGTGTGGCCCATGAGTGTGCGGCCCATGAGTGTGCGGCCCATGAGTGTGCTGCCCATGTGTGTGCGGCCCATGAGTGTGCGGCCCATGAGTGTGCGGCCCATGAGTGTGCGGCCCATGAGTGTGCTGCCCATGTGTGTGCGGCCCATGAGTGTGCGGCCCATGAGTGTGCGGCCCCTGTGTGTGTGGCCCATGAGTGTGCGGCCCCTGTGTGTGTGGCCCATGTGTGCTGTGCCTAACTCAGAGTGTCCCAGAGCATTTGTTGCAGCGTCCATGATTAATGATGGTTGACACAAACACAAACGCTGGGAAGCACAGAGTGAGTGAGACGGATGAAGACAGACCGCGGCAGAGGGAGCGGCTCAAGTTAAATAGCCGCACATCAACATCGCAGACGCCGTGGATAATAAGCCTCTGATGCTACTTCTTTCACCGCGGCCGCATCCTTTCAGACGAGAGAGCGAGATCCAAAAGTCTCGGAACCACTCAACTCAATTAAACCTCAACTTTAATTTGTGTAGCGCACAAGGCAACACAAAGCACCACACAACCCATATCACATCAGGCATACGTAAATCATCAGTTAGAATCTATATAAACGTAAACAAACACACGTAATAAGCAGTAATATTAAAAACATAAAAGTTTTAAAAAACCGTAAAATCATAAAAAGAATAAAGATAAAATCATCAGCATTCATTTCTCTGTGGAGTTTTATTTACATTGTGTCTTTTTTCACATACAGCCTCCTCGTTCCTCCTCGCTCCTCCTCGCTCCTCCTCTCTTCTCTTCTCTCCTCCTCAATCCTTCTCTCTCCTCCTCGCTCCTCCTCACTCCTGCCCGCTCCCCTGCTCTGACCTTCGCTCCTCACTCCTTCTTCCTCCTCCTCGCTCCCCCCCTTTGCTCCTCCCTCTCTCCTCCTTCCTCCTCCTCTCTCCTCCTCGCTCCTCCTTGATCCTCCTCTCTCTCCTCTCTCCTCTTCTCTCCTCCTCAATCCTTCTCGCTCTTCCTCCCTCCTCCTCCTCACTCCTCTTCGCTCCTCGCTCCTTCTCACTTCTCCCCGCTCCCCTGCTTTGACCTTCGCTCCTCACACCTCCTCCCTCCTCCTCCCTCCTCCTCACTCCTCCTCCCTCCTCCTCGCCCCTCCTTGCTCCTCCTCTCTCTCTCTTCTCTCCTCTTCTCTCCTCCTCACTCCTCCTCCTCCCTCCTCCTCCTCTTTGCTACTTCTCACTCCTCCTCACTCCTCCCCGCTCCCCTACTCTGACCTTCGCCCCTCACTCCTTCTTCCTCCCCCCTTTGCTCCTCCTCCCTCCTCCTCGCTCCTCCTTGCTTCTCCTCTCTCTCTTCTCTCCTCCTCACTCCTTCTCCCTCCTCCTCTTTCCTCCTCCTTGCTCCTCCTTGCTCCTCTGCTCTGACCTTTCATGTCCCAGAGTGAGTTATGATGTCTTGTAATGTATTCCATCTGAGAACTGCCGCTGCATCTGTGCTCCCACAAAATTTCCATTAACTTTTAATTACCGTACCTGCTAAAGGGGATCTACTTCATAACCAATGTCCCAGAGTTTCACCCGTTAATAAATCCCTTGAATAACGGCACATCCTCTCTCATTAGTGAATGTCAGAGTTGGAAAGACAGAACACAGGTGGAACGGTGAGTGACAGAAGGCCGCCGCTTCAAACAATAAGGATCAAACATACTAGCACTTTGTTAGCCTAGCATTCAAGCTATCTCAATTTGTTATCTCATATAACTTTATTCATTTATAAGATTTGTGCGTCTGTCTTGAGTTGACATGAACTCTGTGGCTCTATGACAAATGTCTGCTCCGCTCCATGTAAATACAATATTCTATGGAGCCTCAGTCTTGGGTTTACTGCCTCAGTCCTGGGTCTACAGTCTCAGTCCTGGATCTACAGCCTCAGTCCTGGGTCTCAGTCCTGTAGAGACCCTGTAGATCCAGGACTGAAGCTGTAGACCCAGGACTGAGGCTGTAGATCCAGGACTGAGACTGTAGACCCAGGACTGAGGCTGTAGATCCAGGACTGAGACTGTAGATCCAGGACTGAGACTGTAGATCCAGGACTGAGGCCGTTGATCCAGGACTGAGACTGTAGATCCTGGACTGAAGCTGTAGACCCAGGACTGAGACTGTAGATCCAGGACTGAGGCTGTAGAAAAGGAGTTAACCCCTCCCACCTGTTAACGGAGCTCAATGGAACAAATCCAGGTCTTAATACAAAATGAAATGAGTACGATGGTATGGTAAGACCAGGCTAGTGCATTATATACTTCATGATTAACCCCTTGCTAACCCAGACTCCACTACAGTTCAACAGCAGTGCATTGTGGAAGACTATACTTCAGTCCTAATGGAGCCGTCTCCCTCAGGCTTATGTTCTGCACTGTGACAGTAGGAAGTGGAACACCTCACCAAGGTTGAGTCAAATCGGATCATCCACCGAGGTGAAAGAGAGAGGAAGAGGAAGAGGAAGAGAGGGCGGCAGATGGACAATTTTTACACCCTTCACCACACATCTGTACAACATCTGTAAAACTCATCATATCCTTGTGTCACGTCAACATCAACAAAGCACTGCCCCTTCTGATGAGACTCAGTATTACGCATGATTGAACTACATTTTAATATGTATCTTAGTACTTCTTTGCACTTTGCCTAAGAGGTTAGCACTCTCGCTTCTCAGCAAGAAGGTCCTGGGTTCGAATCCCAGTTGGAACAGGGTCTTTCTAAGTGGAGTTTGCATGTTCTCCCTGTGTCTGCGTAGGCTTCCTCCGGTTGCTCTGGTTTTCCCTGCCTCCAAAAACATGCACACTAGGTCCTGACCAAGCCAATCATCAACATCTGGAGATGGTTCCCGGGCGCTGTTACTACGACGACCACTGCTCCTGACGTAAGCCTTAGCAGCGTCAGGATGGGTCAAATGCAGAGGATGAAATCCTACAGGGAATAATAAAGTGCACCTTTACCTTAGATTACTTACTTACTTACCTTATGTATTTTACTATCATTTTAGTATTTAGTAACTTAGCCTTTAATTGAACTGTATTGTCATGTCGTTTCTGGGTTCCGTTTTGGGCAATGTAAGGTTAAGTGTCTTGCCCAGGGACACAACGACAGCAGACTTCAATGGGAGCAGATGATATCAGGGAATCGAACCCACGACCAGTAGGTTGAGACACCAATGCTCTACCATGACCCACTGTCGCCCTACTCTTATTAAGCTGTATTGTAAGGACCATAGGTGGAAAGAAGCTGGGGCTGAATCTTGTGTTACATATTTTTAATCCAACTGAACATTGTTCTCAATAATTTTCACCTCATCATTCCATAGAGTTACTTTTATATATTTTTTTATTTTGTTACTTTGTTTGAATGTATGAATCACAGTGTCCTTGTCATTTCCCTCATGGATCAATACAGTTTGTGTAAGTGTGTAGAGAGAGTGTGGGGAGCTCTGAGGTGAAGGCTGGTGATAATGGACTGATGAGCAGCCGTGAGCAGCTCCGTGTTACCAGGTCAGGGATGTGCTCTCAAACCTCAGACATGACTGTAAATACATGCACAAAGCAACAGTTTAACAAACACACAGATAGATACATTACCACTACTATTGTTGCTACTTTTAGAATGATCTATGTATTTGTTTTGGATAGATGTGTTTCTGCTGCTACTGGATATTTTTTATCCTACAGGGATCAATAAAGAATCTATCTTTCTGTGTATCTACAGTAGAAGTTAAAGAGTTTTTATTTTCATTATGATGACAATTTTAAATTTACACTGAAGGCATCAAACCTAGGAATTAACTCATGTGGAATTATGTACGTACTAAAAAAGTATGAACCAAGTGAAAATATGTGTTTTATTCTGGTTCTTCAAAGTAGCACCTTTTGCTCTGATTACTGCTTCACTCTTGGCATTTTCTTGATGAGCTTCAAGAGGACCTGAAATGGTCTTCAACAGTCTTGAAGGAGTTCCCATGATGCTTAGCACTTGCTGGCCCCTTCACTCTGTGGTCCAGCCCCAAAACCATCTGGACTGGGTTCAGGTCCAGTGACTGTGGAGGTCATGTGGCCCAGCACCATCACTCTCCTCATCGGTCAAACAGCCCTTACACAGCCTGGTGTGGATCTACAGCAATAGTCATGAAAAGACACTCAGTGAAGGAGAAAGTCTGTCCAAACTTTTGGTCTATACTGTATCTATCTATCTATCTATGTATCCATCCATCCATCTTAAAATCATTGCCCTTCTTCCCCCATTCCTGTGCATTTACAGTGTTTACAGTATTTACAGTAGATCCTCCACAGTCGTTTATACGTCCTTTCTTTGTCAGATCTCAGAAAACTGCAATTTGTCCAAAACTCCGCCATCCACCTCATCACTAAAATCCGCACCAGAGAACACATCACCCCTGTCATTCAAAAACTGAACTTAACTAATATATTAACTGAAATATTAGCATTATTATCCATCCATCTATTATGTCTAATGTAGTTATTTGAAAGTAGAAATGGCTATGAGAAAACGAGAAAAGATTCCCCCCAAAAAGATATGATTTATTTCAAGATTCAAGATTAATTTATTATGTCCCGTAGTAAGTTTGTGTAGGACTCACAGCTGCAACGTTGAAAATACACATAAGACACACATAAAAACACAACACAGACAAAAACCAACAGACTCTGCTCCATGGCCTTGATTCACGGGGCAATCCCTAGTAAAAACAATAAATCAATTACATTTTTAATCTGGAATACAAACAAAATGTGTCTGGAAGAAGCCTTTATAAATGAGATAACAGCATAATTATACTGCATCATTCTGATTGCAGACCTGACCAAATACTGCAGTCTTTCTCAGTGGGAGTAAATTGCTCATTCACTCTGCGTACGGATCCAAATGAACGCCTCAGATGCTATTTTAACCACTTCATTATGTAAACACCCACAATCAGAACGCCAGAATTCTTGTACCGACCGCAAAAGAGCCTCAGAACCCAGAGTCAGAACTGGGGCTGCACTGGGAAAAGTTAGTCTTGGTAAAATTTGTTTACTAAAAATAACATAAATGAAGCGTATTTTGGGGGCCTTTTGGTCGTTGCTGGAATGTAGTTCGTCTTAAGATAGAAAAGTTAAACGGTAAGTATCCATCCATCCATCCATTTTCTACCCTTTAATCCATTTCTGGGTCAGGGGGGTGGCAGTCAGAGATGCCACCCAAGTCTCATAGCACCAGCCCCTCACTGACCCTCTGCAGGTGGTGAGTCCA